TCTCAATGGCAGCTGTCAGACCTGCACAGCCCCAAGAATACACACTGTAACAGGTTTGTCACGTAGCTTATTTATGAGTTCTATATTTGATTTACTGCCACAAATCCTCTTATAGTAGACATCAGTAAGAAGAAATTTTCAAGGGAAAAAGTTTAGGAAAAGGAAGACTAAGCCATAGGAATTTAGCAGTCAGCTAAATAAACTGGAATAAGGTCTAAAATGTGTCAGTGTGGCCTAAAAGGGCATGGATGGTGCCCATCCCTAGTTCTAGCTGTAGACTCTTTTTGGTAGTGGTCAGCCTCTGGCTGTAGGAAGTGGTCAGTACCTGTGCCTAGCGATGGATACATCCTGAGTATTGTGTCGATTTCTAGGCTTTGATAATTGTTATCCCTTGTGTCTAGTGGACAACAATCCCTGTAATGGTCCTCAGTCCCAGTTTGTAGTAGGTGGTCTCAGCGCTTGGGACAAGTAGTTGTGAATCCCTAGGTGAATTGATAGCCCAGTGGTAGCCAATCCAGGTGTCCCACCATGGCATGTCCATGTGTCAAATGAAAAGTATGGCTGTGTCTACAGTGGTGGTCTGGCTCTGTACCAGATCTTATGCCCAGTGGTGGTCCCTGTTTTCTAGCTAGATAGAGAAATGTATTTTCTATAGACCTGCATGGTAAACATAAGAAAAAGGGGCCCAGTGCTCCATCTCCTACTAATATAACATTTCATGTTTACATGAATAAAATACATTGTTTTAATATACTTATACATTATTAAAACTGAACTCTGGGTAATCAGATAAATACATGGATACAATACATATAGGGGGATCTTTTTACCTGCATTTGTATTTCTGTCCATTCAATCCTAAGATTTGCACAGCCACCTTAAACAGCATAGCCAAATGGATGACACCAGTTATAGTAAAGCATTATATGAATATTCTCTTTCTACCTCTAACCCGAATAGACAGTAGAAGAGGAGCAGAAGACTGATGAGGTTATCTGCTCACCCCTCCAATCAGCATGGTCCTTATCAACAAATCTGGGGTTGCAAAAGGCTGATATGAAGTCAAAATTAGGTGGCTACACTAGAAGGATTTAAAAAAAACACATTTAAATTGCAACTTTGGACAAAAGCAAAAAATTCATATATACATTTTAAGACTGATGAGGTTATCTGCTCACCCCTCCAATCAGCATGGTCCTTATCAACAAATCTGGGGTTGCAAGAGGCTGATATGAAGTCAAAATTAGGTGGCTACACTAGATGGATTAAAGAAAAAAACACATTTAAATTGCAACTTTGGACAAAAGCAAAAAATTCATATATACATTTTAAAACGTTATCCCATAGCTCAGTAAAGCTTTCTTAAACCAGAAAGGTATTCACATACACTTATTCCAAAAATAAGACTCATTGGTCCATTGGGCAAATGCACAACTAAAACTGGTATATACAGCAAGTATAGCTTATTATAGAGACTTTTATTTCAGCCTGACAAACCAATGTTTCAGGATATTTGGCCATTATCAGTGCAGAGTATGGAAACCATGACTTCTGTGGAGTAGGGCTTAAGACCCAAAGGGACAATATAGCCATACAGAATATGATGAGAAGGGACTAAAGGAATTCCTCACTCTAATCAGTAAAGCCTTCCTAAAACAGAAGGTATTCAAATGTCTCATTCTATCACATATCCCAAAAGTAAGAGGATTATTCCTCAATATAGGACAGTGGTCAGAGCCATGAAAATTATTGCTTTACACCCCAATGGACAGATGCTCATCCATAACCATTGGTGTATAGTGCAAATATATCCATGTATTCCAAAACATAAGGACTTTGAGTGCATTAGCCCAGTTCAAAGGCTGCGCTTCACTTTCTTTGGACGCACTATGACATATTAACCCCCATTCACACCTAAACTACTTGAAGTGCATTTCCAGAAGTGCTTCAATTCTCGACAATAAGATTTCCATGTTATTCTATTGTGCCAGGTCACATTTGAACAGCGGTTCTCAACCTGTGGGTCGCGACCCCTTTGGGGTCAAACAACACTTTCACAGGGGTCGCCTAAGATCATCGGAAAACACATATTTCCGATTGGTCTTAGGAACCGAGACACCGCTCCTCTATCAGTCTCCAGGCGGGTCCACCCACATGCAGATACGCCCACATATTAGTAGGAGAACAGTCAGCAGTGATGACACATGACCCCTCTGCCCCAGCCTATCATCTCCCACAACATCCACCACGCCCATTGTCTGCACTGCTCACCCAATCATCGCTGAGCGGCAACATCATCCCCAGCTCTAAATGCAGGGCAGGGCTTATCGGGATTGAACTTGAACAACCAGACGAGGTGATGTGTCAACGGGAAGCGCCAGTGAAAAAGTTTTGATGTCCTCAGATTGGGCGTGGCCTCTGTCAGGGAGCTGGCTTAGCTGGGGACTGGGTGAAAGAGGGGGGAGAGCGGATCCATGATGGTGGCGGGGTGGAGGTGAGAGCGGGCCGTGTGTGAAGAGAGCTGGCTGCTCTGTGTGGTGGGGATGGGGGAGATGTGACGCCTTGTATGGCGGGAATGAGAAGAGCTGCTGTAGTTATGAAGTAGCAACGAAAATAATTTTATGGTTGGGGGTCCCCACAACATGAGGAACTGTATTAAAGGGTCACGGCATTAGGAAGGTTGAGAACCACTGCATTTGAACTATATGCTACTATGGGGCATAGTCACACATTTTTTATCTCAGTAGGCTTCATATGGAATGCCTGAAAAATGTACGTAAGGTCCCTTTCACACTAGAGGTCTGATCGTGTCCGGACCCGACTGGACCCTCCATTCTCTTCTATGGAGCAGTGAATGTAAACAGATTCTGGCCCGTGTGAAAGATGTTGAATGCTTGTTTTTTGTCTGATATCATGCCTAACAACTGTTTCATCCTTCTGATACTACTTTTCGATTGGCTAAAACAAAACCGCTCCAGCCTGCTAATGCACAAAAAATACGGGCACAAAATAAAAAACAAAAAACACCCAAAGATGCCAATGCTCAAGTGTGAATGTAGCCTTCAGAATGCATTATAACTGCAGGCAAAGCAGGTCAAATGCAGCCTATTCCTGTCAAAAGAGTAATTTGCCATCCAAATGCAGCTGCAAGTTACAAACATATACTGTAATGAGGAATATACATTTACTGAAAAATTTCAACACACAGTATAACCAATTCTTTGAGAAATAGAAATAGATCTCAGAGAACACAAGCAAAACTAAAGCTGGCTACACTTTATACAATATTCTTGCTCAATTAGATTTACCTTTAACTATGTAGTGCAAGGGCCTGTCTGACTACATACAATTTGAAAGTGTTTAGGTTTGGCATCATATTATATGGCTTTGGTAAGTCTAAAGGAAAGTGTATAAACAAATTTCATAATGTGTAGCCATCTATACAAAGAGCTCACTATGTGTTACAAAGAGTTTACTCATATATCCTTAGTTAAAGTGTTGCTTTTCTCTAAGAAGGAACATACTTGAAAAGAAATTTATAGGCCATCTCTAAAAGAACAAAAGTAAAAATGACATTAAGAAAATGAAGAAAAAAATCATTATTTTTAACCCTGGACATAATAAAAAAAAAAAGAAAATACACTTGACAGTATCATTTCTTTTAACCCAGTGCTTGGAATAAACTTTCTGCTTGTGGTTATTATGAAGCTGTTTAGTGGAGTGGAGTATTTTAAACTGAGTGCCAAAGCAGTAAAACCTAAGTGTAAGTAAAATTAAAGTAAAAAAAAAAAAAAAAACAAAGAAAAAAACAAAATCAGCACAAGGGACATAACTTGCAGTCAGTAGGATGTGTCCCTATGTCGCATGTGCTGATGCCTCTTCTTTTAGGTGCAATCATCCTCTTGTCATAAATCAGCAGCAGGGATGGCCAGACCAGCGTGGCTACACTCAGGAAACTGGGACCAAAATCCTTTGAAACACCAACACACCAAACATGAAAATATAAGTGAACTAAAAAAAACCCAGTGACAGAATACTTGACTGATAGCTAACAAACAGGAGCCTAACTAACACTAAATATATACAAAAATGTGGAACGTGGATAAACGGTAAACTGAAGATGCAGGGAACAGATTGGAAGGGGGAACCAGATGAGGAATAAGATACAAGAGGAGCAGGAAAGAGGGTGCAGGGAACAGGATGCAGGGCAGGAGTAAGATCAGGATCTATGGCAAACTGAATCAGGCGTCAGCGAAACACTGGACCAAGTGGCACTTCATAGGGGAGAACCTAAACTACCTCCCAGCAGTCAGAATCAGCTGCAACCTGATTAATGGGGTCTGCTAGCTGATGGGAGACATCTGCTGGTGGACACTGGAATTACAACCTCTCTTCCCCGGGAACCACCGTGCCACCAGCAGGTGATCCTGGTCCTGACACCTGTTTTTGAGCACCTCTACCACCCTAAACTTCCAATGTGCCAAGGGTTAATAGAACTAAAGGGCTGTCACAGGCTCTCATCAAGAAAGTCCAACTTCGCTGCCCTTTCAACCCAGCTCTGTCATTCAAAGAAAATGTACTACAGTTTCTATGAATGGAAAATGATCTAACAATGGATGATTAAAAGGTCTACCCCCTCCATTCATAGATCCTGTTTCATTCATAGAAGTTCTAGTATAGCTCCTAGGATTGAAGCAGCTGGGCAAAAACAGTGAGCATAATTAGGCTCTCTTGTTGTGAACCTGTGACAACACCTTAGTTCTTTTAACCCCTGCCACACCTGAAAATTATGGCAGTGAGAGAAGGGGATGGACTGAGAAGGATTTCACCTAAAATAGGCATCAATACAAGGGACACAACCTACATACTGTATGTTATGTTCCTTGTGTTAAATTTTTGTGTTTTTTTATTTTAGCTACACTTAAAATAGAACTATAGGCAAAACTTTTTTCATTTTCGCTAGAGCAAGGGAGGGTTATAACTACGGGCAGACTGACAACTCAAGGGGCCCCCTGGGCAATAGGGGATCATGGAGCCCCTGTGTCCTTGCCCAAACTCAAAAAAGCCTATGAAAAAAGGTACCAGGGGCATCTCATGGGGCCCCCTACTGACCCTGGGCCATCGGGCAGTGCCCGAGTTTCCAAATGGTCAGTCCTCCCCTGGTTATAACCCCTATCAGATTTTTGTTTTGCCATCTGTATCCCATTTCGGAGATTTCCCTTCACTTTCTGTCCCATAGTTATACACTAAGTGAGAGGAAATCCCTGCACATTAAGGGAATTCCTCAGGGATACCCAGGTCACAAGAACTAGTGTCCCCATTGGAAGATTTCCCCCCTTTTACTTAGCAAAAATTTGGGATTTTGCTTACTTTCAATGATAATGGTAAAAAGAACAAATAACTTGGGCACAGACATCAATAAAAACTGACAGGGGTTCTAATTCCTCTCCACTCTATCCAAAACTAGAAAAAAAGGTCTTTGCCTTTAGTTATACTCAGCTAAGTTTAATTAATAGTAATTATACCACTAGTATTGTAACTGTTGATTAATTAACATTAATCACCCAAAGTGAGCTAAGAAAGATGCAGCTTTTGCTGCAAAACCCTTCTCTCTCCAGCAATGTCCCTGTAACACTCTCCTTCCTGTCCTGCAGCCAGGTCTGTATTCCAAGTTGTCATGATGGCCAGTGCCATTACGTAAGTGCCACTCTTTACATGATTCTCAAATACCCACTGTTGAGGACAGAAGATGTGAAAGAGAACCTGTAACGCCACTTGGCCAGGTTAAGACCAGGGAAAAAAACTATGTATACAGGAATATTTTAAAGAAAAAAAGTGTATGTGTGGATCTTTAAGATTATGAGTGATGCCCCATTTACTGGTAGTCAACACCGCTTTCAACATCTATACCATTTAGTTAAGTCCAAAAGTCCTGCAAGCAACATTTATGCTGCATTTTGACCAAGGCGATCTACAATAGTGATCAACTGAACCCCTTTGAAAAAATGTATAAAAGCCACAAATTCATTTTTTTGCACTAATAGACACAGGTACTCTCTTGTCCTGTAAAATACATAAACAAGAATGCTTTGAAATGGTCTGAAAAGCACTTCTATTTAGAAATATAAAAACCTGAAGCATTGGTGTGAGTTTTAGGGTTATGTAGACCTGTCTGGAGTAAGTCACTATTACTTTTACAAGAGCAGTTAATTAATATTTCAGGTGCCATAAAAAGGAAAGTATAACCAAACAGTTTATGTTGGAGAGTGCTGCACTATATAAATCATGTTTTATAATAATAATATTAATTATAATAATAAAGAGGTACACTTAAAGAAGGATCCAAAAAAGCCCTGTGCTACACTAGTGGCTCATGTCCGCGTTATTTTATTTCTGGCCCTGTCCACTCCTGTTAAATTCCTACTCTGCTTTTAAGCCTTTGGCATCCAAGACAGCTTGAATTCTGCTGGGAATTGACAAATATAAGTCTTGGATGGTGGATAATGGAATCTGATACCACTCTTCATGCAAAAATCATTCCAGTTCTTGCAGAGATGCTGGAGGTAGAAAACTAGGCTGAACCTTGTTCTCCAAAATTGACTATGGTGGCTCTGTGATATTGAGCTCCGGCAACTGCGGTGCCCAGGGTAGGTGTGAGACTTCATCTAAATGCTCATCAAACCACAATTCCACAACATCAGCTGTGTGAATGGGAGAACTATTGTCTTGCTAAATGGTGCTGTCTTCGGGAAACAATGTCTGCACTGTGGGGTGCACATGGTCAGCCAAAATTGGTACATAGTCACTGGTTGCGACCTTTCAAGGTGATGATGGGGCCTGCAGAATACTAAGATATGGCTGCTCAAACCATGATTGTACTGCCACCATGCTTTACCATTGGCACAAGACAGTCCTGGTCGTAAACTTGGGAAGGTGTCTTCCACACGTAAACACATCCAGTGGCTGGGAACAGGTGTAAAGCTCGATTCAACGGACCATATTACAGGCTTCCATTGATGGATAGTCCACGATTTATGGTTGTTGCACCACTCTCTCCTTGTCTGAGCATTAATATTGGTCACTAGTGGTTTGGGCAATGGCAGTTCGCCCAAATGTTTCACTTATGGAGTTCCTTCTGCACAGTTTTCATTCTGGGCTCTGGAAAACTGAGATTGAGTTCTGCAATCACTTTTACAGCAGTTGCTTTTCTTATTCCGGGTCACAATCCTGCACAATGTCAGTTGACCACGCTTATGGTTATCAGGCAATGTTTTTCCCAGAAACTCTATATGCTGTCATAACCTTTGATACTGTGCTGTGTGACCTTGCAAATACATTGACAACTTCAGTCACAGAGGCACCAGCTAAGTGAGTACCAACAATTTGCCCTCTTTGAAGCTCAGTAAGCTCTAACATGACTCCGTATTACTAGCAGCACATGCAGCGAATGATGAAAAAGCGGCTAAAGCGGCTTACCAACTGTTCGCTAGATGTCTCATCACACAGCGGAGCAAAAGAATGTTACATCACTTCCACTTTCAACATGAAACAGGTCATCACTTTCACACCTGCAAATCATCCATATTTGTGTCAAACCCCTGTAGAACAACTATCTGAATAACAACTATCTGGGCTTTAAAGTAGAAAATATTTGTATGTCACCTGTCTATATGGGTGTCATGAAAACCATTGCTTTCTGCCACTGGGCCAACTATGTCCAAACAGAAAAATTATGGTGCTACAAACCCTAGACTGTACTAGCTATGGGATGAAGAGGGAAAAAAAGCAGTCTATGCCAGGTCAGTGTTGTACATACCCTAGAAAGCCATAGCATAAGTAAGAGTCCAGCACTGACACAGTATGAAATAAAATTATAATTCTTTATTCTCGATTCGTAATCTCGATCAACACATAAAAATAATTCACACAATAAATGATTGACACGTTTTAGCCCCACACACTCTGGAGCCTTAGTTATAATCAAACTATGTATCCAGAGCTGCTGTTGTACAATATAGTACAAATATAGGCTAATATTATAAAGCCATTTATTCCAAAAAGTATTATTATTGTATAACACATAATAAAAGTAATCTGTGTCAAAAAATTGAGTGCCCAATTTTCTTGTCATAAAAACTCATAAGATAAAGAAGTTGATTTTTAGAAGACAAAAACTAAGTAGTATTTCCAACCTGCACATAGCAGAGAGAAAGCTGAGCCATACATACATACAGTACCGGCAAATATGGCACCACCGTTTTTCCACTCTCTCCAGTCTATATCAGTATTCATTCATCCAGCTTGTTGATCTATGGATAATTCTACTCCATGATGTAGTGTTTATAGACTTGTTGCAGTAATGGAAAGGATAGCTCTATTTTGTCTTCTTTTGACAGCAGAATCTCCCCTCCCCCCAGCATATGTGTATACATGGCCTATATCCTATGTCCAACATGGCTTGCCATACACTACAGAACCTCTTCATTATAGATAAGAGCCTTATGCTATATCTTTTGTATAAATCCCAGAGTGCTCCATCCCCACCACACACAATACAGAGCAGACTGCTCCAGCCGTCACTGAAAAGGTTGCATCTCTTTTCACAGACTTGTTGAGAGGAGCGTGCGGAGAACCTTCCCAACAGAAATAACAGAGAATGTTAAAGCTGAAAATAGACACAAAAGGATGGCAAACGTGAATGAAGAGCTACATAAGAGATTTAAACATCATGCTGGTCTTCAAACACTTCCACACAGCCCATCAAGGCTTGAAAACCCTCTTTTCATTTATGTAATATCTGCCATAGCTATGATTCTGTTGCAGTAGCTTTCAGTCAACAATACTATCAAAGAAAGGTACTCTGAATATGTTTTTTTAAAACTTAAAGAAAGACTGTCATGTTCTCATAGATTTTTACAGCAAACATTATAGTATGAAGGCTGGCTGGACAAGATGACTTCATTGTTCACCAAATCCTGTGTTGTCTGTCTCTGAGTCATATTTCAGCAATAACCACCAAACCCAGAAGAACTTCACCCCTTATCCCAAACCTATTTTGAAAAAAATAAATTTCCTTAAATCCAGCAGTTTTTTTTTGTCCAGTCACATGATTTCTTTTCACAATCTTTTTCAACTTCAGTGTTGGGTGGTCCTTACTTTTGCACAAAAGGGACCTCATGCAATGACCTGTGAGCATCATTTTGTGTGTTAATGCTATAAACCCAGGCCAGTATTATGTGTCCATGATCCCCTGAAGTGAATGCATGAGTAGTGGATGAATGATTAGTTGAATAATTAGGGTGTTATTAAACTAGTAAGAGAAGTAGTGTTGAGTTCACCAAGGGGATACCATCAAAGAGAAGGTGAGCACTGTAGCAAAAGCATCACTATTTTAACACATGCTAGAAAACATTTTTTAAATGTTTTTAAATAATTGTTTAAGACATTTTTGGTAATATACATAAATAGAAATATCAAATCAAACATAGCAAGGTCACACAATGTTCTACATGTTGACATACAAAAAAAAAAAAAAGGAAAAGGAAATGAGACAGGGGAGAGGTAAGGACACCATGGGGTCATCATGCTCTTGGTTTTGCTGTTTGGGAATCAAGGCCCTAGAGGTCCAATGGCAGAAAATAACCACATGTCCAGAAGGTGGGTAATACTACAAGACTAAAGGTCCTTCTGTGGAACCAGACCTTGGATGTTTACCCAAAGAAAATACATATACAAATTCACTTATCAAAACTGCTAGTTGTTAGACATTTAAAAAATGGTGAGGTGTAGGTATGGTTGGGGAATTTATGGTTGGTAAAAGGAGAGAGTAAGGCTAGAAAGGAAAGCAGGAGACAAATGTCCAGCAGCAAAATGTATAGCAAGTCCACATAATGGCACACAATAAAATTATGTTCCAGGATTCCCATATGGTGTCGTAGAGTTCTAGGGTGCAATGTAGTTTGGCCAGCAGAAGCTCCATTGATTATACTTCCTTAATACGCTCAAGGAGATCTTGTTTTGAGGGAGGGGAGGTTTGTTTCCAATGTAGTGCTATCAGACATTTTGCAAATGGAAGGTAAGTTGGTTTGGTTGGTGTCACTTATGGAAGGGGTATCCATAGAAGACAACGTAATGGGTCTGGGAGTAGCAAATCGTCTAT